CCCTTCGATGAGCGGTGGCCTCAAATGTTACTCAATTACCACTCCCGAGCCTCTTGTTATAGTCTTCAAAAAATATACTGCTCCGATAAACAACGATTAGCTACACATATTGAATTTCTATTCCTTTTTGCATTCGTACTGGCTGCTCCAGACGGATACCCAGTGAGTTTTGTCTACTGAAGTACAATGCCCGACTTCGGGACAGAGTGATTCTCTCATAAAGACCCCTTACATCATCAGCAAACATGGTAACTTATATGGACGGCATCATATGCTAATTAAAAAACGACCTTGCAAGACGATTACGATTCTGTGAAATACGAGCTTCGAGACGGTTGAGCCATTCCATGCGCAATTCTATGTCAGGAAGATTTATTCCGTTCCTGAAATATAAAAGCTCAGAGGTGTTAAAAGACAGCGCAATAAGGCCCTACAACACCTTTTTGCACGTGCAGCTTCACAGCAGATATCAAGCATGCGCTGAACTACGTAGTTTCCGTACTGATGAAACAGCATTATGTCCAGAGCGTCCTTCTTCGTTTCCCTATAGAACAAAAAACTGAGGTCTGTAAAAAGAGATCTCAACAAAATATTTGGTAGGCAATCATACGGATGAGGAACGTATCCATCGAAGATTTCGTCCATCATTTCAGCCAAGAGTGCTGCTGGTGCAAACTCAAGTGCTTTCTCAACTACATGAGAAGCATATTTCTCTTGCGATAAAGACAAGAGGTTTCGTCTGGAATTTATAAGGCCGTAGACATTTCGAGAAAAAAAATGATAGTGAGCCCTGGTAACTTACAAAAGGCACTCTTCAATGATGCGATCACGGTAGTCGGCCAATGGACCCGCTTTGATTACGTGTTGAATCACATAGTTCGCAAACTCGTTGCAGGCTAGGCGCTCACAGTTGGCTACCAAATGCGCCATAAGATCATCCAACATTGGCGATCGACGTTTATTTACCTTCTAAAAACAATAATAACTTAAAAAAGGCAATGCAAACACGGGTGTACAAAAAAATTCCAGGTGTACATAAAAATTCCTCGAGATGCTTTTCGGTACAACCTAAACGATACAGTCAGAACGTATTGATATGTGTATGTGATAAGGGCTATAATGACTTGCGAGGTCAGCCGATGTACAAGTTACTGTTTTTGATATGCAAGACAAGTCTGGTAGCAATCACAAGACTGCGGGAGATAAGAGGCTTTGTTGGCTTAGGCGATATTCGACCCAAACTTTGAGCCCCTGACCGTGCCACTGCGGTCGACGAACTTCTTGAACTCAGTCCTTCAAACCGCCTCTGCGCTCTCTCGCGGGTCCCTCTTTTCTCCAAGGCTTAGTCCTAGGGCATTCACCCGTTCTCTAATGCTCTAGCCATCGCGGCAGGACCATTGAGGAAAAATCAAGTAGTCCGTAAAACCATGTTCGCGCACATTATCGCCGCCGCAAATCGCGATAGCCACTTGAGACACTGAGACACGTCTTGCACAGGTCACGCACGGCAGCGATGTACCATATTTTAAACGTGCCATGCGTGAATCAAAACTTTTCGTTACGCATTGTCTGCCCAAACGTCTACCTAGAGAAGTGACACCTTGCCCGCATCAACGAGTTCTTATTTGATATCAAAACTACACAAACTATGCAAGACAGGGGTTCGGATAGAGTTAACATCTGGCCGACAATGGCCATTTTTTCGCTTGTCTGCCGCGTCGGACCGCGCCTTTTTTGACATTTTTCGAAAAATGTGTCATAATGCGGCTAACCACCTGCACCAAAAATGTTGAATCTTGAAGCATGAACTGTTAGAACTTTGCAAGTTTCGTATGATTGCAGACCGCTTCCAAAATGAGCGTAAATCTTTAGGTTTTGCCGAGGGTGTATTTTGGGAGCATGCCAGAAAAACTTCAAATCTCCACTTAAAACCCGTAAATGAGGTCGGATCCAGATCTCTCTCTGCTTCGTGTCGAAATTGGGTAAGCAGACTACTATAGCTCTGACGCCCAGGCGAAAAAAGCAGGCGATACATGTACGACAAGAATACATCAGCTTTGCCTTGAAAAACCACGTTTCCACTACCCCTCGATCCGTAAAAAGGAACATCAACTAAGGAAAAGTATGCACTGTCATTAACTACTTTTAAGTATGACACGCATCATCCTGGGCATTCAGGTATCGCTCACCTTCCGCGAACACCCTTCTAGAGAATCCTGCAGGACAGAACGAACGTCCTGATCTCAATGCCTGCTTACGTCCCCACATCGAGCGCCGCTTTGGTCGTTCCTCGTAGGACCAAAAAAGCTGCGTCCCGCTGTCGAGCCCAAGTGCTTTCAAAATGGTAGGTAGAGTTAAGAGAACGGAATAAGCCGTCCATCCGTGAACGGTTCGCGGTTCCAATACTAAAAAATGGTACAAGCAAGTGACCGGAGCAGCTTCACTTTGACCCCGTCTGACAGCACGGGTGCAAACAAGAGACAACTGCTATCACTGGGATTTGTTTATTAAAAAAATTGGATACCTTATCAGTATCAGATAGAAGCTCAATAGCTAGCTGCACCACACGACATCCATACTTATTTTCCGCCACACAGAACAGATCGTTTTTGTTGCGAATGAACTGCTCGACGATGAACTGCCAATGGACGAAAGAAAATGTCGTCATGATCTTGAAAGATTCCAAACTCAAAAAAAAGAAAAATATGGTATCCCAAGAACAATAAATGGTCAATTTTGGCAATCCTTATTCTCGATAAGAAACCATTTGTGGGCCAATGAACAGTGATAAAAATCCCAAAAAGTAGAGGGATTCAGGCAGTATGTGCTGGCGGTGCATAATGGGTTAACGAGACTGACCATATTATGAAGCATACTGTAAAATTTCCTTAAAAAAATTGGTTGCGCTGCTTTAATCTGATCGGTATTAGCGACACACAAGCGCAAGCGTTGCAGACAGGACAGACTGATGAGAGAATTTTCATGCAGTCACTTTCATAACATTGTCTTTAGATTCTTTCTCTCTTCTTCCAGATTTTTCTTTTGCAAGACTTCATACTGAAGAATAACTCAGCAAAACTGTTCACTTACCTTTTGAATTACATGGTTGGCATTTTGATCTGTGCACAAGTCGACGAGGTTCTTGTTATGAAGTTCCAACATTAGAAGACCTTTCATTTCCTCCGGCAAGCACTTAAAAATTGCAGTATAACTTTGAGTGTTCCTCATACGAACGCTATATGATGAATTAATAATAATAACTTCCAGCTTGACTTCGTAAAAAATAATGAATAATGAAAAGAAACGGATTAACGATCTGAATTTCTGGTTTCTACTAAACCTTTTCATTTCAATTTCTCCTTCCCCACTCTGATAAATGTTGCAGTCATAAATCATAATGTATCCCGTACTGCGCCTGCTAAAGGTTATTTTGAAATGTAGAACCTCGGGAAAAAAGATTTGGTGATCTTATAGATGTTTACTGTGACGACGGATACTGTAGCTGACCCCGCCGCTACAGTTCGCCCACATGTCTTTTCGACGAAATGCCCTGTAGTTACTCCTGCGTACGGCAGGTCACAAATAATAAGCCCACAGATACAAGATGCTGGCATGGGCATATTATAATCTCTGGATACTGTAGTTAATAACATCACCTTCAGCACAGATTTAGAAACATCCCTTTGCATTGCAATTCGAAGAAAATTCCTTCCGGTGAACATTAAGAAGATTAGACATAT